TTCATGCTTTTTACATTTTCCTTAAAAACAAAGAATGTTAGTACTTAACCAGTAATTATTAATTATTATGTTATTTGAATATAATAAAAGTATTCATCATCGGTTTTTTTTATTGGTGTTAAAGATTCGTGACATTTTTCTTTTTGGTTGTTTAACTCATGAACATACTTTCACTAAGCAAAATAATGAAATTTACTCTCATCCATATATGTCGTTCATTGAACCTTTCACCGTATGGTGGAATATGGCGCATTGTTAAGCTATGACTAGGTTTTTGGCCTAATTGCTTTATATACTTTGTATTTTTTTAACCCGTATAAATCGTGATGGAGAAATCGTGGTAATGATCTTGTAGAAAACATTTTATGAAGTTTATTAAGACCATTGTAATATATCTGAAGTATAAGTAGTTACTTGTATTTGTTTTTTAAATCTTATTAATTGTATAGGTTTTCTTCAACCTTCATTATGTTTTAAAAATATTAGAGAAAGTGATATCTTGAACTTGTACTTATTGTTGCGGGAAATATAGCCACACCATTCTCGCACAGCACGAAATCTAAAATGTGGGGTGTATAATGTATGAATATTAATATTATAGTTAATCACCTTATAAATTAGGAAATTATAAATATATATATATATATATATATATATATATATATATATATTTCTGAGATATTGTATTATTTTTTGATTAACGAAGAAGATTATGATATGGAGATATTAAGATAACGATATGGAATAAGAAAATATAAATTAAATTTTTTTTATTTAATAATATTTTATATCCTACTCTTTCAATTTGATAAATGTTTAAATTATAATATTGACTAATCTGGGTGTCGTAATTTTTATTCTGTAAATTAGTTATATTGCGCGTTGGATAGATGGAGACGATATATTTTGTAAAAAAAATTATATATGATTTGCTCTTGCATATAATATATTGTATATTATATAAGTTGAACTTGGTTATTTGTATAATTTAAATAAAAATGAATATTATATCAAATTTCCTCTTGGACTAATGAATTTCGTCAAAATTACTTTGCTGACAATCTATGTTTAACTTATGTTTTGTTTCATCTTCATACATTAAATTAGACTTCAGCCAATTTTAAATATCATTTGCTATTATTAACACCTAACGAGTTGTAAACATTCTTACTCGCCCACTAACCGCTAAATAACAAAATAATTTAGCAAGTCGTGACGTTCGTAAGTTTCACGACTGTCACAGTCGTGACGACCGTTCCTTTTTTAATTGGTTGAAATGACTAGTCTCACGATCATTGTTCATCAGTTTCTCTAAGTATATATTCATCGACTCAACTCGTCGAATTCCTTTATTTTGATGGATGATTGACTTAATATTTGATTATTCATTTTTCCAGGAGTAATCTATTAAAAGGATATTTTTTCAAAACCATATTTTTATATTTGTGAAATAAGATTTTGATAAAATAATTGTATTTTAGTATTAATACATTTAAAATGATTTATATACAATATATTTTTTTCTATTAAATATTTTACTTACTCTTAGTTTTAGAATACTTTTTTGTGAGATTATCGATTTTCAATGTTAGGGAAAAATAGGGTGCAATGATTTTACCTTTTTTTATCATTTATTTTTTGTACTTCTTAGTGCCGATTGTTCAACTTAAATAAAACATCAGAATATTATACATTATGTGTAAATAAGATACATTAATTACTGTGAATGTTTAAATTATTAACATGTTAAATAATTATATTTTTTTAATAATAACCTTATTTAAATTAATGTTAATCTATTTACTGGAAAGTATTTAATGATTACCCTTAAAAATAATGGTTAACACCTTAATAATTAATGTAATATAAAAGTTATAATAATTATATCACAATCCATATTTTGAATGAAGTCTACAGTAGAGTTTGTTATCTGCATAACCTTCTTTTAAAATTGCCTCAATGTACGATTTTATATTGATATATACCTATATTAATAATATTAAATGCTAAATGTAACTAACGAATCGTTTATCGTAAACATATGAAATAAATATTAACAAATTTTAAATTAACAAATAAAATAATTGTGTGTTATTAATTTTAATAGTGTCGTTCATTAATTAAATTATTTAGTTTTGAGTTATATTTTGATAAATATAATATATATTTTCAGACTTAGTTTACAGTGGAATTATGTATTTTATTATTTCATTTCGATACTTTATCGATATTCTAGTTATTTACATGTTTTTAATTGCCAACTATAAATCTTATACATTTCCAAACAAAACTTTTATTAATGAATACATTTTTTTTATTTAAAACATTTGATGCAGAAAATGCAGTTATTTTTTTTTAAACCAAAATTACGTGGAATTTATCATACTATAATTCCAAAAATAATACTCAAACAATATGTATCTACCAACTTTTTGTATAAAAACAAAGCTATTTTATTCGTTTTCTTTTATAAAATATAATTGAAAAAATTAAATATTTTGAAATTTAAACAGACAATTTTAAACATTATTCTGATTCCTTCCACTAGAAAAATGTCATACAAATGCTCTTAAATTCAAGAATTCCAATTTTAAACTATTTTTCCTTACATGCACAGTAAAACAAAATACCTTAAAGGTGTTGGAATCTTATTTTTTCTTTTGTCAGATTATATTTCTAACTCTAACTCTATAAATTTGAAACATTTGATTACATCTTAAAGTAAATAATTATTCACGTGTGTAAATAATTCGTTATGATATTTTTTATTAATTATTAATTTGCATACATCTTATTCTACTTCTTTTCGTACATTAAAATCGTTGATGAGCTCTTCGTGTGCAGTTTCATCGAATGTTAAAATGGAGGAAGACATTTGGTAGACTGAATTAATAATGCAATAATATTACTGGAACCAGTTTATTAAGCAATAACAACCGTACACTATGATACCTCCCAGATTTTGTGTAAATCAAACTTGAAAATAAATCTTATTGTATACAAGGTTACTCAATTTGCATACGGACAGTAGGCGTATTAAAGAACGCTACTAATTTTGAATTTTAACACCAAGCTTCAGAACAAATAACTTGTTATTATTTTTGGGGCGCGGTTTTTCTTTCGTCATCTTCGTGTTCTATTGTCTGTATAATCATTTGTATTTTAATTCTAAAAAACCGGTCACTCCTTCGAAAATTCTCAACATTACAACATTATTGCCACCCTATTGTATACATACATTTCTAAGGCACTCGTTTTGACCCACTTATGTAAATGAGATATGAGGTACTCAGAAAAATAAACAAAAACAATTTATTACAATTTAAATATAGATAAATAATATATATTTAAATGATTCAGTAAATATGTCGGATTTTGTTGAGATTTTGTATGATACAATTATCATACTGTATCAAATGATTTCCAAAGCTCTCTTACATATTAACCTTGTGCGTTGTTAATTAACACTAGTATTTATATAGATTACTTTAATACAATAAATCATTATTCATGATTCTATAAAATATTTATAATTTAAAATCTGAAATTATTCAAAAATAATAATTTTAAAAATAACTATAATGGACATTTTTTTTTATAAAAATATCATTAAAACACTCATAACACTATTAAAATGTGGGTACATTTATTGGATGTTAAATGAAGAATTAAATAGTAAATAAATATTTACTGAAAAAATAAAAATAAAATAATTAAGATTAATTATATTAATTATTAATTATTTTATTAAAATAATTAAATTATAATAAATATGACAAGACATAATATTCATTATATATTTATATATATTCCTATTTGTTTTATATTAATTTAAGCGTTAGCAATTTAATTCTTCACTTAGTTTTGGTTAAATATAATAATTTCAATATCAACCAATATTACAATTTTTTTAAAACTCAAGGATATAAAATTTGTTATTTTTTTATTTAATTTCCATATTTATTTAATAGTTTTATCGATCATTAAAAATAATCATATCTAAAAATTGCCTTGTGGTCATATTAACCGGTTTTAAAAACCAGCTGTCAGGATTTATTGAAAATATTCAATTTTACTAATATTGTATGACATAATCCAAGTATCAAAAATGTAATAACTAGAATTAAATTACATTTCAAACATTGAATGAAGGAAAACAAAGATTTATAGCTAAATTAATTTCTGTTTTATTTTAATTTTATAGTGATATATTTTATTTCTGAAATAATAATTACACCAAGTACTTAATCTTGGATTATAAAATAAATATAACTATTTTATTTGAAACTCTTCCAATGTTGAATGTAATAGAAATGTTAAATACTTAATTCTCATTGTTATTTTTTATTTCCGTGTAATTAATTTCATTCAAAACATTTTTTAAGAAACATTATTAAGTTAATTTTTTTTTCTAGAAGGGAGCTGGTTATTTGAACCGTAACACTCGAGGGTGAGCACTGTGCGTGTTTCCTTTTAGTTAAAAAACGTTCACACTACCCTTGACCCTTACAAACATTTTTCAAATATCTGGTTTTGACTGATTAGATAAGTTATTCAAAAGAATAATTTATACCTTTTTATTTTAAAAAGTTTTAACAAATCAATGATAATTACTCTTCGAATTTTAAATATTATATTTATTAGTTAAATGATACATTTTTAAAATTCTTTAAAAGTAAGTATACGATATTTTATTTTTTCTGAGTATACATTTAGAATATTGAGTGTAAAATTATCCAATGCACTTTGATGACATTTGTTGATAAACTAATTATTATTACTAATACATAATTTTATTAAATTAATATTTTTTCTCTATATTTGTTTTGAAACGATATTAAATGAATAATTGTTGAGATTTGAAATTATTTTTTGGGGTCTATTTGATTATCATTATTTTATACGAACCATTTATATGTTCTTATGTTTTCATTGTATCATATAATAATCCTGATGTATTATATTATTATAATTTGCTTTTTTTATGTTATTTGTTACAGTCCCAGCAACGCAGTTCTAAATTCGTTGAACCAAGTTAAAATATATTTGCAGACTCAGGGTACATGCAAATGTGGTCTTGAATGCCCTTTTCAGTGTGAACACGTTTTTAATTTCGACGCAAAGGTAATAATATCATACATACATATTACATATATTACATATTTTTAAATAGTTTAGGTTAGGTTTATATTATTGCAATTTGAAATATCATACCAATTAAATTTTCCAAAGTTTATATTGATGATGGGGGGAAATGGAAATGCATTCCCAATATAATTAGAAATAATGGATTGCATGATTTTTCCAAAACTTATTTTCGTTAAAGTGAGATTGATCTTTTTTTGACTCAAGTTACAAGTATGCATCTATACATATTATAAATAATTTTTGACAATTGTTCTTCTCGTAATTTTTTTTTTTTTAATGCTCACCCTTTTTATACCAGTTTATTATAAGCAGTGTTTAGAGACGAGAAGGCAGATGTTACTTACGGTGTTAGTCTCTCTTCATATTTTCAACAGCTGCTATTCCGGGCTTGTAACTGTTAAAAAAATTCGGTGTTCTTATTGAAAAACAAACCAGTGATACCTAAACCTAAAGTATAAAATTATTATTTTTCAAAAATTTTATTAATCGATGATATATCCTATTAGTATTTAAGTATATTTAATCACTGTAAATTTAATTTAAGCTATTTTATATTCTCAATTTTTTTGATTGTAAAAAAATTACTTCGTGTATTGGATAAGTTTTCTCTTGCATAATAATTTTTTGTCACTCTTTTTTTTATCATGTCAAAATTCTCTCAAATTCATTTTCAATTTAATCTCCATGACTAAAAGTAGAAGAAATTTAAATGCCGTTCTACTTTGTCTTAAAACCATCGTGTCTTATTTTTTAAAATATATAAATATTGGTTCTTTATATAATCATAATTATTGTTTATTCAATTTCTTCTAATGTACTTCAGAAATCAAATCATATTTATTAATTTAATTATTATAAAATTAACTCCATACAATATACAAATAATATTTATAAATTAATAGTTACCTTTAAATTTTTGACGTGTTGATAAACATTTATGTATTTATTTGAAATTCATTATCAATTATACCTATTTCCATTCTTTGAATACTATTTAAAAAAAACCAAGATTTTATACAGGAATTTTAGTGTGCACAATAATCGATCGTTTTACGATTATTCAAGATTGAGTAAAAGATAGTTGTGTGTAATTATTGATGTTTTTGATGCACATTTACAAAAAATAACTTTTTTCAGTGCTTTTACAATAAAACACCAATATCTTTTCTATTGTACAATTGTTTTACATTGACCACAAAAGTAAAACAGTCCTATTGTTTTATTTTCATTGAGATAATAAGAATGTCATTAAGGAAACTTATATCAATCCTTGTTTTGACTAACAACTACTATTGACATAGTAAAAATTTACCGGTAATATAATAATTTTGCGTTTATTGAATTTACTGAACAAATACTAATTATAGTTTACAAATTGTATATAAATTTAAATGGTTTGTGTATGAGATAATTAATTTATCATTATTATATCATACATGATTAAAAATGATGGATTTGTTAAAAAAGTATGTTTTAAACATATTTAGTACCTAATTTAACAATAAATTATCCATTACAATTTTTAAACTTTAATTTGATTTTTTTATATAGTAATTATCATGGTATTTTTATTTTAAATTCAATGATCTAACAATATTATAATATTTTTTAACATCAGCATAGTGACATACCAAGTTTTGTATTCAAACAGTTTAATACATTTATTCAGAGGTATTTCCATGAAAATTTTTCATGGATTATTATTGACTAAACTAGTGATGAGAGTTACTTTTGCACTGCTCAAAATTTAATTATATATTAATTAATATTATTATTTACTAATGTTGAATTAAAAAATGTTATTTTAAATACTAAAATTGTCTATTGAATTTGCTTATTATTTCTAAGAAAGAAAATGCATTCAAGTTTATTTTATCGAATCAAATTATCATTTATATTAGTGTTATAACAACCAAATTAGTATGGGTATTACAAGTTCTTCTGCAATTTAATTTAATTTTTAATTTGCAAAACATTTTATTTATAATATTAATGGAAAATTAATTGTATTATTATGCATACATGATTTTATACGATTTAATATAATATGTACCTTTGCATTCACTTTAACGCGCGTCATGTGGCAGCAGTTAGGTGGCAGGTGTCAGCTAAAGTATAACCAGGTGTTGTATCCCTAAACTAACGTCGTAATTTAAATGGCATAATCATGAACCCAGACAATAGGCATATTTTTATTTTTACTTGAAATAATTATTTTTATTTTTTAGTTAGGTATGTTAAACGTTTATAGATTGAAAATGTTTGTATTTTGTGTAATTGGTAATATTAAATTCAAATAAATTATTGCATCATTATTTATACATCAAAATAGTTTTTCTTTTTTTTAGTTTGAATAATTTTTGATTTTAAGAATCATAAATTAATTGTTAATTTCAGTAACAACTTATTCTAAATCATTACATAGTATTTATTATCATATTGGCTTCAAAATTTTTCTGTCAATTATTCGAATACTTTGTTTTTGTTTCAATAACTATATCATATTTATTTTAATTTTTCTAAAATTCCAATAATTCTGGTGAAGTCTTAGGTATGTTAATATATAGATATTTGTAATATTATTCATCAAGTGCGCCTATTCTATTTTTAAATATATTTCTATATTAATTTGATTTAATTTTTTAACATATTTTATAATTATTTTCTTGGAATGTAACTGTACAAATACCCCTTGGGCATATTCACCAAAGGGCACCCATATTATCCATCGATTCATTAAATATTTTACCTAAGTTTTGTTATGAATTCATATTTTTAAGTCACATGTACATGAATAAACATAGTAAAACATCAACATTTGTATATTTTAATTTTGATTATTATACAAATTTGAAAGCTAATCAATGATTTAATTTATTATTCTCGATTTTGGCGATTGAACTAAACTGACACTCGCACATTCAAACTGAAAGTTTATTATAATACATTTTTAATTGAATATATTTTCGTTAGTAGATGAAATAGAGAAGCTCAAGGCTAATTTGTTTCAAATGTGTGTGTGTGCGTGTATATGAGTATTTGTATTCTATGTATTACATCATGGATATTCAAAGCTGAAGATAACATTAAGTGAAAAATTAAAAATTAATGCCAACATAATAAAAATAAATTCAGTTAATTCAGTTAATTTTATCAATAAATAAATAACCTTACTTGTCATGTGTCAATTATAATGGAAATAATTAAATTTATGTGATTACTATTCAAAAATGTAAATTTTAATAATTTATATTATTATTTATTACCTTAATAATATTAATTTTTTTTTATAGTATTACTAGTATTATTTAGTACTATATAATAATACGTCTGCAAGTTACTATAATATATCGTGTCATATATTATACAATGATTAAGTATAAAATGTAATTATTTATTTATTTCTACCTACGTAGTCACAAGTTTTAAGTTTTGGTCTCAATTTTATTAAAAAAAAAAATGTTTTTAAGTACTTATATCTGCCTATCTATATCTAACTGTATTATAAATTATAACTAATAATAATTTATGTTGATTTAATAATAATTATTATTAAGTTGTGATAATACCACAAATCTCTACAAATCTTAGATAATATCTTAAATCTCAAATTTTAGCAGTGATTAATTGCATTTTAATTAATTTTTTTTTTTCATTCAATATTATTGTTTTGGTGAACGAAAAAGGTAAATATATATAAAAGTAAATATTAAATTACTTAACTGCTATTTTATTAGCCTCAGATACCGTATATTAAATAACAATTAAAATGGTATTTTTATAATATTATGATACAGTACAAAAATATTTTAATTGCAGCTTGTTAATTAATGCTAATATACATAACAATTTTTTTTTTAAAAATGGTCATCATCCATTACAATATTTTACCTTTTATACTGTAGGATTAGAAAGTATAGAAACATTTATAGTACTTATATTTAGAACATCCAAACTTTCTACAAATCTTTTTTTAGAAATTAATATTAATATCGACTTGTCATCACGTATCACTTTATACTTTATCATTGAAATCAAATCTTATTTAAAAAATGTTTTAGGTACAATTTTATTCTTAGTTAATAATTATTAATAATTAGTTATTAGTGTTATTACCAATATTATTTAGTACATAAAATTAAAATCAGTTTGTAAATTGTTATTTTAGTAATCATTCGTTTTCATAAAGGCGATAAAATGTTATCAGTAGTTAATACACGCACTTAAAATAATTCAATCTCATTGAATTATGTTAATAGTATATATTAATAGCTCAGAGTTATTCAAGAAGTTACTCAAAATCCCAAGTAACAATGAAATAAAATAATGGTTTTTCAAATTTAGAAATTATGAAAAACGTGCAAAAAAAAAAAAAATGCATACACAAAATGTAATTATTATTTACAATTGTATGCGTAGATCAAACAAACCGGTTTAGGTTGAAGCTCTAAAAAAAACCAGTTATCAGTCATCAATTATAAGTTCTTTTTCATCATATGATTCGTTAATGTATACATAATGCCATTCAAATGATTCAAAGCTAGTTCTTATGTGTAAATATCGACTATTCTCCTTCTATATAACGAATATAATTCGTAGATGAACATATTATACAAAATAATCAGCTAACTGTAAGAGGAAGAGACAAAAGCGAGGTTTAGTTCATCGCCCAGATTTTTGGTAATATAAAAAAATTGTTATTTTTAACGGGTAGAAATGCGTTGGATTTTATGGTTCATTATTAATGGTGAAAATGTTAATATTTTGTATACAAGAACTGGTTGATTATTCCTATTGACTTAGTTTAATAACGTCCTTTAAATAATTATCAAACATAAAATCTGATGAAAGGAGTATATTAATGATTATTCGTTGATTATTTAATAATTTACTTAAAAACAATTATATTATATTTTCATGGATATAAATCTACAATGTATTGTAGTCAAGTACCATGAAGGTCGAGTTTTTTTTTTTATTCTGAATATTAAGCTTCAACGGAAACGAATTTTTTAAAACAACAATCGAATTACCAAGATGTTTGTGACTGACAGACCGAAACTATTCTGTTCTTACTGTTTTCCCTACATTGTGTGGGTGTTTGTTGTTTGGTAATTATTGTCTAATGTTGTTAGTTAATTTTGGATACACTGGGTATATTCTGAAGGTTTGATATTTATTGAAACACGTCCAAAATACTCAAAATTATAAAAATATACACTTTATTAATATGCTATTAATAATTCGCAAACGAGCGCCAGAAAAACATTTTCATGTATTTAAATTTTTATCGTGTAATTTTACATGATATGACTCATTTTACATATTTCCTATAAATTAATGAGATATAATTCTAGATTGAATTTACATGCATTTTGTAATGATAGCAAATAAAATATAAATTTAACATAATATTTTTAAATTTTAGTAATAGTAAGTCTAATTAGTCATTTAAAATAATAAAATTAGTTCTAGTAGGTATATTATTTATTCACCTACAGTCGAACACTTATTGTTATTGTTGCATTTTAATTTTAACGTATTTTTTTTCATATTATAAAAATATTAAATTAATTTAAATTTCTACTAATTATCATATAATAATAATATTTGTTAATTTTCATCAAATACATTTTGTGTTTAGTTATAAGAAAATGTAAATCCGTATAATGTATATCCGTAAAATATTTTATGGTTCTCATGATCTGTACATTTATTTATACACAGATGCACAAAATGATTTATTTGATATTTAACCTTGATTTTTTTTTATTTCATTTACGAAGTGTCATAATTATTATTAAGGCGTAGCCATTAACCATTTATAAATCTTGTCCTTGACGAGTTTATTATCCTCCAAAAATTACCCAAGGTGATACTCCCACGAATTTGTTAAATTATTAAATACTTAAAAAAAAACTTTTATTAAATTATGTTTAAAAATCACGCGTAGAAGCTTATAAGTAAAATTTATTTATTGAGACTTTTTAAATTATAGGTAATGACTAAACCTACGTCCAGCCTTAACACTATGACTAACCTTTGCAATCATAAGAGAAAAATGATGATAAACAATTCAGAAAATAAATTTAGCAATTATTCCTTTGAAATGGCAGAAAATCGAAAAAAACGAAAACTTTTTGGGGCTCAACAACAGTATTCATTTCCTCCTTATGAAGGTGAAAAATCTGGAAAAGAAAACTTCTCACATGTTTCAAATTCTCATCCAGTAAGATTAACAATATTTTTATTTATACATTTGTTTACTTTAAATATTTTGATTATTTTATGTTATTATGATTAGTTTTAATATTCAACATTTATTTTACAGATGCAATGGTCAGATCAATCTGCTGTTCCTAGTCATATGAGGTTTACTTCTCAAGGAACATCTGCAATGCTAAATCCTCAATCTCCACAGTCAATGATAAATTCCCAAGGACCACAAAATATACAACATGAGATTTTAAATTCTCAAGCCCCACCAATACTAAACCAAAGTTCATCTGTGATGTCTAACTCTCAAGGACCAGTTATGCCTAATTCTCAAAATACAATGATGTCAAATCTTCAAGGAACTGTGATGTCAAATTCTCAAGGAATAGTAATGCCTAATCCTCAAGGAACAATAATACCAAATACTCAATCCCCTGTAATAGGTTTGGGAAATCCTAGAGTTCCTCAATATCCCAATCATTCATACCAGCAAGACTTAGGATATGAGCAATCATATCGTAATGGTTATAGGTATAACTCCCCTCAATGTAGATCTCATGAAACTACTATGTTGCAACCGGACTCTTCTTGTGAACCACATCATCAACAGTATCAAAATGATATGTTATCACAAGAATATTATCAAAAAAATATTCATAATGTATACCAACAAGAGCATACGCAATATAACAATTATGATAGTCAAAGAACTCAAGGAAATTGTCGTTTTAATTGTTCTAGTCATTGTGGACACTATTGTAACTCGGACGAACAAAATCCTAGTTATGGTAATCAAATAAACTCATGTCAACAACAACCACAATCTCTGTCTTTAAGGCAAAACGAATCTACAAATCATGAATATTATCCAGAAATGTACCAAGAACAAAATAATTATACTGAATCCTATGTAGATAATAGAAATACTACAAGGCAAGAATATTCATCACAATATGAATATGAACCACAATCTCAATCACAGTGTCACCATATGGATTGTAATTTTAAAAATAATGTTTCTGCTTCTTCAGTTAATAACCAGAGTCCTGTAGATGTTCCACAGATAAGACCACAATCCCCTCAAATTAAACTAGTACAACAACAGATAAATACACAACATTTACAACAAAAGCCATCAAGACCTCAACACAAATCAACTCCACCTTGGCAGCTTAATAAAATTCAGTCATTACATCAACAAATACCTCAACAGCAAACTCCACAACAACAAATTCTACATCAACAAATACCACAACAACCAATACCACAACAACAAATATCACAACAGGCAAGCCCTAGAGAAATAAATGAAGATCGAGTGCCTCCCATACATCATCATGCTTCTCAAGTTCCCAGAGTAGAAGAAAAATCTCGTAAGCCACTTCATAAACAATCCTTTAAACCTGTAAATTATGGTAGAAAATCAAAGTCTCCTCCTGAAGAAGATAATTATCCATCATTTTTAGATGATCCAAGTGGTTACTTAGCGCAGCAAACAGCATTATTAAATAATACTATAAGTACTAACTCATTTTCACCTTTATCTCCACCTGCACAATCACAAAAACAAGAAAAACCTAGGTACACAACAAATGTTACAACAATGGCCAGTGGTCGAACAGCTAGTTCAAATACAGTTACTTCAGTTTTGGCAGGTAGGACGAATACAACTGTGGTCACAGTAAATACATCAGAAGAACAAGTATTACCGCCTAGTCAACAACAACCTGTTACATCTAAAACACCTTTAGAAATGGTACAAAGTGTTGTTAGTAGTATACAAGTACCTACTTCTTCAGATAAATCGAATATTCAACCAAGTCACATATTATTAACTAGTAATGGGCAATTGATTATGGCATCAGCTAAAATACAAACACCTAGTACTTCTCAAGTTCTTTCTACAGTGCAGCAACAAGTACAACCTACAGTTCTCGTAAATACTCTTCAGGGAACTCAAAGTACTTTATTACTTCAACCAGGAAATGTTATGACTGTTGATCAAGTACAAGTACCTCAACTTGCGGTTGCTACAGGGAGTATAGATAATAGTGGATCATTTTCACCTAGAGGTTCTAATTTATTATCTCCGCCAGATTCTAAACGTAAAACTAATAGTTCAAAAAAGCGAAAATCTCCTCAAATATCTCCTAATCAGAACAATTCAAGTGTTTTGTTACAGCCTCAGCAACAAAACTTTAATCAACCTGTTGTTCAAACATTAATATTACCTAATAAAACCACCCAATATGGTAACCAACAACTTATAACAAACATGATACAGCCTGTAAGTCTTGTTCATAACCTGCCAGCTATTCAGCAGTTTATTGTACCTGCAAATTTAGGTGGTGTTGTTATGGCTGATAATACTATATTACAAGATGCAGTGCAGTTAAATGTTATATCACCATTTTCTAATAATGGACAAAATATTTTACCCACTGGAATGGTTTTAAGAACCCCTCAATCTCAACAAAGACCCCAACAAAGTAATCAGTTTATTGTAAATAGTGTTGGTCAATTGAGCCCTATTTTAGCCAGCTTGAGTCCTAATCAACCACAAAATCAAAATAGAAATCAGCAGCAAAACGACTACATACATGTGGTACCATGTTCTATTCAACAAAATCAAGAAAATACTACTGTAGTTCAACAAAACACAACTATTGTTCAGCAACAAATGACCATGGTATCTGGTCAACAAGGCAATGAGCAAGGAAATTTAATTATAAATGAAAAACAAGGACAAAATTATATTATTGCTGATAATAAACAACAAGGATTTATTTTGAGTCCTAAAGATAAGCAACAGTCAGGTGGAACACATTTTATTTTAAACAATATGAATTCCGAGAAGCAAACCCAAAGCTTTATAATTACTAGTCCAACGTCAGGTGATAAGCAGCTTTGTGGAAACTTTATACTTGAAAAAAGTAACTCTTCAGGGAATTTTATTATTACTACAACAAATTCTGATAAAAATTCTAAATTTGCTAAACATTCAGTATCCACACAAACTGCTGCTGGGCAACAAGTGTTACAAATTTCATCTACTCCTACTCTTATAGTTGCTACAAACCGTAATGCTTATGTAGGTAGTCCTCCTGATACAACAACTTTAAGTCCTGTTAGTGGACAGAGTCCTTCAGCTAAACCAGAAATGCCTTCAAGTTCAGTAACAGCTGATTTAGATGCTGCACTATCCCCATCATCAACATTATCTGATATACAGAATCGGCAGCCAATGGTACATTGTATCTCAAGTAGTAATGTAGTAGACTGGTCTGATAATTCAGCTGATGAACGAAAGACCGGATCTAATGCTTCAGACTCGCCAAACATGTACTCCATTGAACATTCTTTTACTAGATGTAAGTTGCTAGATGTAAGATTTTTATGGCTAATACATTGATGATTTATATATTTTAAAATTTGTTTCAGGATATAATACCATGAGTAAATATTTAGTTCAAACCAATTCATTTATAAATTGATGACTGATGATGCACATGTTGGCTATCTAAACCAAGTTCCTATTAAAAAAATATTAATATTGTGTTGCTTTTGTGAAATAATACAATATAAAATTTTGAAACAGTATATTTCCTAATTAAGTTTAGGTAATTATTTATTATATTTTACAATGTAATAGTTCCTCTAGTTGATGGAGAAACATTCTATACAAATATTTTGTGTATTTTAATTGGTTTGTTTTAAAATCTATAATCCTTAAACCGAAGTTCTGTATATTCTTTTATGTTAAATTACTCAATGAATAGCTTCAGTGCTTTTATTTATTTTTCTAAATTTTAAATTTATTTAATTTTGTTTTTTATTATTATTCAGAAAGATCTTTGGACAATTTTAATTGTGGATGTTTTTTAAAAACTACATAGGTTACCAAATTGCAAAAGAAATAGGATGTAGTAGAGAGATTAGTCCAGTTGTTTTTTGGCCCTGTAATTAAATTGAACCCAGTAATACTCTAGCTCTTTAATTCTTGGATGAGTGATTATCAAAGAATGCAGTAATGAACTGATAATGCCCTTACGCTATGTTTTTCCAACTATCAATCAAATCGACTAACAAGATAACGAGAGTTTTACCACTAAACTTATTAGTCAGAGCTTCTGTAACTTCAATAGAAAAAATTGCAACTTATTATATTTAACAAACTTTTCCAGTAGCTTCAAAAATATTATAATTTGCTGAATATTAACTATAATTTTTGGGTTTTGTACAAAAAGTTAAAACTAAAAATTTGTTATAATTGTTATTTCTTTTTATATTTTTGGTATAAATATTTATAGATAAAATCACGAATGTCTTCTTTTACATTTTTTCTTATTATGCACATATTATATTTAAGCATTTTAATGATTTATCAGTTCTTTACTTTTTTTAAGCATTAACCTAAACTTAAAATTATTAACAAAAATATTAAATTAAAGATATTGAAGAACTTCGGTTTTGAACAGTTTGTAAATTTTATTTAGTAGGATTAACATTCTATTTGAGCACTTATTCATAATTAAGTTACATAAAGTACTTCAAAAAATATTTTGTATTACTTTTAATTATAACAATTATGAAGTATTTGTGGCATAAAATAATATATTTATAAATTGTTTTTTTATTGCCGATATATAAACATCTTTCATTTAAAATGTTTAAATTAAACTATTGTATTAATTATTATTTAAAAAATCCAACTTTTGATTGTCACATATTATTGTTTTTGTTGTTTAGTGAGCGTTAATAATTATGTTTACCAACAAATCTATTAGGTTCTGACCATGATTACTAGATAGTTTTCTGGTATTTATGGTTACCTTAACAGTTACCTATCTAATTTGTGTAAGATATTAATGAATATAATGTTATTTATAATTAGTTATGAATCTTTATGAATATATAATATAAAATAAACATCACAGATATTTGGTCAAAATTGTTTTATGATATTTGAAGTTACAATTTTAGAATTATGTGTATTATTGAGACATTTGAAAATATTTTGACTTATTAATAAATTTATTTTTAAAAATCGGTTCATTCATTTTTACCAAAGTAACTTTTTTCTATTTATTTTGTACATAATTTGTTGCATAGTTTTAAAAGTGATTTTCAAATATCACCTTGGAAAAATAAATGTTATAATACAAGCAAAATGTCTGAGTGATATACTCTGTATAAAAATTATATTATTTGTAACATATGTATATAATCAAAATATTGAATTGTATTAAATAAAAATTAGACTGTATATTTTATATTTTTAAATCTGATAAGATGTTACTCGTTAGTACATTATTATTGTGTATTAAAATTTAAGAAAATTATTTATTTATAAATTATTATTGACAAATTAATCGAAAACTGTGATTTTATGTTTCGTTTTAAATTAATTTTTTTCTTATAATAGTCTTTTTGTACCTATATAACTGTTTTATTATTATTATAATTCTTTTTTTCTTATTTTCTTTTATTTTTAATTTTTTTATTTTTTTTTTTTTTGTTGCACGTTTAAATTTTTAAGTTTATTTATTACTATATTTTAAAAAAAATCAGCATTCTATGGAAAAATGTTTTAATTATGATATTGCGCTTATACCTATTCAATAGTTTTATCCATTTTATTGTATTATCATCTAAATGATGATACCTATTATTTTATGTACCAAAATATAAATTCAACTTAATTACATATAAGAATGAGGATCATTGAAGTTAATACTTGAAGAAATAAGTCATAGTTTTATACTAAAAAATACCAATGTACTAAACTAACAATATCCTGGATTTTTTTTCAACTCAATCTACTTTTATCTCATAGTATTAAATACATTATAAGCTTTATAAGGATAATATGTGTTATGAAAATATATTTTAACAAGTACATAACATTGTGACATGGAATAAAGAAAGTTAACGATTTTTATTATTTATTTATTTTTAAGCAATTTAGTTTATTATTATTTCATCGCTAAAATAAACTCAAATATTTTGTTATCACATGTAGCACAGTTAACATTTTAAGAATGGCAACCAATATGATTGATTTGAAAAGAGTGATTTGAGAGCTGGTGACCAATCAACCATTCCGTCACATCTACGCTTTCTGAGCTCACTATTATTTTTGGTAATTGTTACTGTTAAACACTATTTGAGATTAATAGCTATAATTTATCAATAATATTTCTTATAAATGAATTCTGTGACCTCTCTGCCCTTACATTTAAATTTTTTCTTGCAAGAATTTAGTTTTAAAATGTATAAAATATAGTAAGTTATGGATGAAACAAATCTACATCACATATGTTGGACTTTGTTCAACTTAAAATATTTAATTTATTCTTATAATAAATATATTTATCTACAGTACAGATGTAAAAAAAAAACTACAATAAGATAATTAATTTTCAAGGAACAGTATTAAAATAAAGTGGAAAAACTTCATATTTGTAACATTATCAAAATGAAGAAAACATTACTTGATGTTTTAACCAAATTAATTAGAAAGTATGAAAAGAGTTAGATGGAAAGTTAGATAGATGAAAACACAGCACTATAAAATATAAAATATAACTATAAAATATATACAACAGAAGCAATATTTTTTTCGATTTTGTTTAGATAGATATCTTTATACTGGTGTGAGGATATGCTTTCTCTCGGTTGAACATATCTAATAAAATCAGACATGGCACTTGATGTACACACACACATCACATTCTGATGACTTGTGGTTCAACTGTCACTTTTGCCGTACACATGTATATATAGCACTTTTTGTTTCAAAACGTTTAATAAGTTTTAAATAAATGATACATACACTTATAGTAAGAAATAAAATAAAATAATTAAAATTACATTTAAATATTTTTAAATACTAAAATCGATATTTACTGTAATTAAACTTAATACAAGATTTTAAGGAAAAATCATAAAATAATAAATTGCTCATGCATCAAGTTTACAGAAAATTTTTACATTTTTTATATGTATATGTCACATTATTATGATGATTGACCTGTTAGTAAACTAATAAGTGCAGCCTTTTCTTTTTCCTTTTTTTTGGTAACTTCTAAACTTCTATTTTTCCACATACTTTTTCGAAGTTTTATTGGTCTACTACCCACATAACGACCTGATAAATATTAAAATCATATACATGAATATTAAATATTTAAAAAACTGTTATTCAAGTGAAAAAAGCAATACCGTTGAGTTCTTTTGTAGCTTTAATAAAATCAGCTGGATCTTTGAATGACACAAAACCAAATCCTCGAGTTTTCATGGTTCGTCGATCACGTACTACACGTGCTTTTTGAAATGATGGATAGCGGCTGAATGTACGAGCTAATAATTCATCAGTAACATCATTACCTAAATCTCCACAAAATAAACGAAAATCGTCTAAAAACAAAAATGTATTAAATCACATAGATGTTTATCACAAATGCTAAAATTGTATAATGATGCAATTTAACAATATTCAGAACAAAATATTTACCTTCATCCCATTCACATAAAGTTTGATCTTCCCACACCTGTCCACCAGAAGTCCGAATAAATTTTTTATTCTTTTTCCCTTTGCTTTTGGCAGATTGGTTTGGGATTGAAGCAGCACATTCAGCAGCAGCAACAGCATTGCCACCAGCTGATACAACAACTGTTTTTGATGTTGCTTTAACAGCTTCTGCCATTTCTTTGCCAGGCAAAACTGTAGGTTGTGATTTCTTTGATTCTTTTTTTAATGGGTTTATGCTAGTTGTCATTTTTAATACATCTTCTGGTTTAATTATAGAATCACTGACAGGTAGTTGAGATGGTTCTGGTTTAGATGAGTAAAGTTTAGGAGCACCACTAAAATGCAAATTAAATTTAAAACATGTATATATATGTGTGTGTGTGTGTGTGTGTGTGTGTTGTGAGCCTCTGGGTAAGTCCAGTGGTCCTATAAAGATATTCTACTGAAACAATATCTAAAGCAAAAGAGTCCTACCTTAGAATCACAGGACCAATTGTTTTGTCCACTTTGACATTATATCTACGTTGAGGTTGCTGTAATAGCATTTGATTATTAGAAAAAGAAGGTCGCATATTGTTGTATCCTTGAGATGACATAGAATTTTGCTGTCCCATAGAATAGTTATCTGAAAAAATATTTATTAATAATATAATATGGGCAATAATTTCAAACTATTTTTAATTTTGAAATACAATGTGCTTAAGCAAAAAAAAAAAAATATTTTAAAACACGAAAAAAATATGTATGGTTTCAAAATTAATCAGGAATCATTTAATTATCATGATGAACATTCATAATTGTAATTTATTTATATATCTTTATATATATATATATATTTATTGTGTCTATCTGTTTTCACTGAATTTCTCTTAAATAAGTGCGAGATCAAATTAGTTTGAGAATGGTTTAGATTCACAATATGATCCAATAAAAATGTTTTTACTAAAACTGGTTTATTGGTTTTTTAGAACCATTTTTAAAAATTACGTGTTTATTGGTTTGTGTCGAATGGACCCTGAAACCACTTAACGGATTTTGATGAAATTTAGTATAGAGATAAATTAAACCTTAGAAAATAATATAGGCAACCTTTTGCTACAAAAAAAAAAATGGAAAGGAAACCATCAGTACACTTGATAAAGCCTGAACAGGCAGTTGTTGCTTAGTTTACTCTATAAAAACAGAAAAAATGGAAAGGAATCCTACTGTCACATATCTCAGTGTGCACCTAGAAAATAGTGAATGTTTTTATTTTACTAGAAATAATATCCAAGAGCGAATATTTTCTCCTCCAAAAACAATACTCACCGTGATTAATTTGCAAGAACTTTTCTGTATATTGAGGTATCTGAGGTATTACACATGGAATACAAAAGGAAAAAAATGGAAACTCTGTATGAGGCTGTATGAGATTAGGGTTATAGTGAGCTTTTTGCTAAACTAGCAGCTAACCGGTTTTGTTAATATTATTCTCTATGTGAATGATTTTGTTCTTTAAAATAATAATTAGAAATAATTAAAAACTAACCCAAGTGAAGTTGGATAAATCAGATAGTATATATCTTATATATATATATACATAGTTTGCTATTTATCATCTATGTTAAATAAACATCTCAATTTCAATTAAAAAATGATTGCTTGATGATAAGGCTTTTGTAATTTTAAGAGAAACACAAAACTTACAAGATTCACTTTCACCTCATCATTATTAAATTATAGATTTGGGAACTCCAAATGTAAAATCAATTGGTACTAATGGAATCGGTATTTTCTAGTACCTAATTATATATTGAAACTAAATAAGACTATTAACTATTACATTTTATATCTGATTATATTATGTTTACCATTATCCATGTATGAATTCATAGAATCACGGTCGGCCTGGTACCCATTGCCAGAACTCACTAGGTGACGATTCATTTGTCCATATGCTTGAGGAGTGCCAGGCGTTCCATCGATGTAGTTGGGTATCCCAATTTCTTCTTCAAATCTAAAAGTAACAGGTACCTCGTTACAGAAATAATGAACAATACGTATGCATTCCAAATAAAATACTTGTTCATTTCGACTTCCATCATACGGAGTTTGTCAAAAGCATCGGCCATGTTTGATGAATTATCTTAAACAACAGCGATAGGTTATAGCAGAAATCAATCAAAAACGATCCAACAAAACGGGTCAACAATTGACGCCAAAGGAAATAATTAAACAGTAGACAGACGAATTACAGTGACGACGATCTCAATCGATGTTCAATGAGATACCACAAGTGATAACGAAAGGCATTATCGGAATTACATTACAGAAGTGGTTATAAACAGATGACGATTAGGTTATAAACATAGAGTAATTACTCTATGGTTATAAAGCACTGTTATTGTTATTTTCTCACATCACTAGTGCTTTCAATATTTTTCACAAGTCGCCCATAGCCCATAAATCAAATCAAATGAATTCTCCCTTAAGGTATGTACAATATTATATTTCACCTATATGGGTATATTATAATTTTTATCAAATAGTACCTTTTGAAGATTTTATAAAAAACATTTTCATGGTACAAGAATTGCATTTTTACCGATATTAATTTACCTTATTCTCTATTTATCAATACAAAATTGTATTCTCATATTTTATACCATACTTGTAGATTCTTAAAAACATAGCTTTCCCATTTAATTAATAATATTTACTGTTATTTTGATAAATTAAAAATTGGTATCATTGATTTCATAATTGTAACCTCAAACTTAAATTTTTAATCTTAATTTATTTATTTTTTAAAATGAAGTTATTCAGATTCATTTTAAAAAGTACATTATCAGTACTGGGTCAGGGGCGTAATTAGGAGGGGGGATTAGGGAGATGGACCCCCCAAAAACTTTTTTTATGTATTTTTTTTTTATTATATTGTGATAGTATGATTATTATCATTATTATTATTATTACGATTGCTATTATTATTATTATTATTATTATTATTATTATTATTATTATTGTTAAAATTTAAATTATTAAAAATTTTATTCTGGTAGGGTGGGAGGGGTTACTGTATGAGGTGTACAGATTTTGCTAAAACCTATAACCCCCCCTCCCCAAACTAAATTCCTAATTACGCCACTGTACTGGGTTAAGGGGTAACAAAGAGGCAGTTGCCCCTGGTGGTAGTTTTAAGAAGAGGAGATAATTTCTTAACAGCGAAAACAAAATATTCTAATGTATTACAATTCTTAGAAAGAATTATTAATCATTGAAAAACGTGTGTAACAAATAATAATAGTTGTATAATATATTGTTTATCGCAGAATTATCAAATGAATGAGCGTTCAGAATATTATTAATTAGACCATATTGAGCTCGAACTGATGGATTTCCTTTTTTGTTTGTATTATCGTATTAGTTTCGAGTGTTTTTTGTATGCCCATACGGCTGTATTATAATTTATAACCATTAGATTATTATTAATTCAAATTTATTTGTATACTACCAAGCAACTGGGAACAAATCTAGTTAAGCGCTCACTCGAATTTTTCATTTTTTTTTTTTTTTTTTGATCCAAGTAAATCGACGTTTTAAAAATTATGGTGCAAATATAAATATGCGGAAATCATTAGTTTTTGAGTTACACAAATTTGAAAATTGGGAATTTTCAATGATATAATAAAGATATAGTTAAATAAATAATCTAATAGTTCAGTGGATAATAATTGATCGTTGAGTACCCCGGGTTCTAATCTTTATTCGCACAAATATTTTTTGCATTTTTTTCCGAAAAATTGGAACTTCGATTTTTAAAATTGTAAGACTTCGCTTGCTACACCTGCCGGCTCTACTCACAAATTCGAGTGCCACTCCGTGGAACTTTTCGGGGGGGGGGGGGATGTGCTTGGCCAAATATCCGGCGTAAAATCGTTTTTTCCGCGATTACTGGCCCATACATAGATGTCTTAGCGTGACGCCACATCCCCTCTACGTTATTTGTGTGCGCGTCAGTATTAAGGTCTTTAAACTGAATAAAATGATTTACTGTTAATATAATCAATATACCAGGCAAAATCCACTCTTTAATTAATACCAGCAACGTTTTTTTTATCTCGTTATTCTACGGGTACTAAAAAACATTTCCCTGTTGTCCGCTCTACTCCACCAAAAACCCATTGCCCCTCTACACGATGGTCCCTATAATATTTTCGTCGACCAAACTTCGACTCGTCGATCTCAACAATTTTTCCAATACCGCCTTCATAATAAATGTATTAAATAATTAAAAGAACATTATTTTTGCTTTTTACAAATTGAAAAAAATATATTACAAATTTTTTTTATGATGTAATATTAATCCATCAAAGACAACTTCCCGATGGAAAGATGCCCAATCAATAAGGGATTGTTGAACAATACAAATTTGTTTTTAATAAAAGAAAGTGACACATTTTCCGTCCAAAGATATGTAAATATTATAATACGATAAATTGAAAGATGTGATTTACCAAAGAACGTGTCTTTCCTTAAAAATTGTTTGAAATCACGCCTCACTTTTTTATTATTATTATTTTTTGTATACCACTTTCTGCACCGCCAAACAAATCCATCAATGATATCTGCATGCGAGCATCATTTAAGAAAATGACAATTTTTGCATTTTAAGGTGTTGTTTTTTGCAATAATAACCCATAATTGTAGTTGTTCAATGGCGGACAAAAATAACGGACCGTCTTCATCACATTCAAATAATTTAAATAATTTTATTATGGACCACATTATTTATTTAATTAATAAAAAAAAACTTGAAAAATATAGGTATAAACACTATACACTTACTGCGTTAGGAATAGTAATGAACCAAAAATAAATAAGTATTATATTTTATCTGGAGTGGGAACAATAATATCTCTTTTTTTAAACCATTTAAAATTTATTATCCTCATACTGGCATTTGTACTACTATCGTTAAAATGGTTAACGATCATCAAAATAACAGAAAGTTACAACTACGAGTACGATATTGAGATAACGAAATGTGTATTCAAGTAGATTAGACAGCTTTAAACGAAAATACCTCTGGATTTGCCATGAAGTATTATTTCTATATTACTATATTATTATATTATAGTATAGGGAAATTTTCTACGTTACCAGACACCCCTTTTTTTTACAGTTTTTTTTCGGAACCCTAGGTAAATCAACACTACCCCAAGTAGGTCATAGGATAAAAAAAGGATTTTGAGTGCACCTCGAGACTGGGTGAGGTCACAGGTTAAACATTTACCTTTTAAGTTGAAATTTGCTCCAATTAAAACATTTAAAACATTAGAAAAAAAGTGCAAAAAATTTCCTAACCGGGAAAGGTTTCAAACTCAGATTCGTAGAGTGTAGCAGGTTACAGTACCAATATATAACAACATAGTAAAGTGAACATTCTTATATTACATTATTTAACATAACTATCAAAAATTAATAAATTTGAAAAAGATATAACTCAAAAACTAAATTCTTCCACTCAATTTTGATTACACCATCGTTCTCAGCGTAAAAAAATATTTCTGTTTAGAAAAAAAAAAAAATGAAAAATTCGAGTGGGTGCTAAACTAGATTCATACCAGCAATTGTTATTATTATTCTATTGTCTATTCAAATGTCCAGTTTCATAGACCATTGTCATAGTCTCATCAACTGTCAAGTTATATTGATTTAAAAACAAATGGGCTTAATATTTCCTTACAGAGGTTTTTCTTTGATCAATATGAGCAGATCTTATTTTAATAATATATGTATATTTAAATAACGCTGTTGTTATTTATATAATTTTTTTTATGATTGGTGTAATGGTACAACCGGTTTGAAATAGGCTCCCAGATAGCATAATCTTTAATCTGGGGCTGTACATTATTATTATTTATATATACATGTACCTATCAGTATTATTAATAAATAATATAATACATTAAATTTGTATTAAATGTATAATATTACCTATAGTTTATAGGGTGTGCTTATTATTGCTATGATATTTAAAATTGTAGGTGTAATTTTTATGATTTATTTGTATGTTTTACATCATCATTTTTTTTGTAAATAATTTACTTTTAGATCAAGTTGTAAAGAAACTGTTATTAGTCCTGGATTCAGTTATCGAATAGTTCAAAGAGCTCGTGATATGAAGTCAACTACACCAAACATGGATTTACAAATTTATCAATACCATTCACATTAGAGTTAGTGTTTGTAGTCATATTACAATATGTTTATATTAAATATTTTTTTTGCTTCATTTAGAATTTTCAATGTATTATTTTAATTTATTTGATTGTTTTAACATTAAAATTTGGTTAGTATATTCTTATTGTTTTTTTTTTTTTTTTTTTTTTTTTTTTATACTTTTATTATTAGACTTAGCTTTTATTTTATTTATTTATACATTATATTATTTATTATAACTATATGTATAATAACAAAGTTATATTTTTTTCTATTAATTCATAGTTCTACCAGTCTCTAATCTTGTATTATTTATATAATATTATATACCCTACTGTGAATTTTATACTTTTTTAGTTTAAAATTAATTATAACTTTACTTTTTATTTTATAACTTGATTTTGTTTTTGTGAGTTATTTATTATTTTCATAATATTAGATTACATTTAATAACCAATTTTTATTATTTTGTAAATATTGTAACTAAATCGGATTAATTTAATTTTTAAATTATTTTGTATTTATAACATTAAGAATTCACCAAAAATGTTATTCGCAAATAACCTCATACCTATCTAACTTATCTCATATAGGAGATATTTATCTTTAATTTTTTACATAATATCTGCAATATTATAGGAATGTAAATTTTTTTACTATTTCATTGTATAATTAAATGTTACTTTATTTCTTAGGAATGGTGTAAATGGAAGCAATACAATCAATGGCAATTATTCAATGAGGGATTCATATGATAAAAAGCGAAAATTGATGGAAACATTGGATAATTTTGGTGTTAGGAAAAGAACTCGCCAAGTGGTAATATATTGAAATATAATATAATGTAATATCAAAATATTATGAAGTTTTATAATACTTATAGTTAGTGTTAAAAATAATACTATTTTTTTAAAGAAAAATGAAAATAAATATGTACATAATGTTGACCTAATGACTAGGCTTAAATAACTAATATATTTTGTTATTCATATTAATATTTATGTTACATAAATACCATTAATATCTTTTTTATATACTTTAATTTGTTCTTCA